GAGTGCAAAGGTCTCATGTGATTCCTATGTGACACGACTCCGCGAAAGCTCATCCTTCGAAATTGCTCTCAAACGCGACGATTGGTCCCTCTAAGCTTCTTTTGTGCATTTTTACGAAAAGTAAAGATGAGGAAAAACTAAGACCCGCAGTTTTCTAGATCAGTTAGAATAGAAATAAAAAACAGATCAGATAGCATTCAACAACAATAGTTCAGTTTATATCAAAATATAATTAAAATTATTACAGTTAACTGGATACAGTTAACATTTATTCACTCTAAGCTCATAATATAAACAATTATACAGTTCTATAGCAATAAGTGATTCTTTCAATATAATAGCATAGTTCATGCATTATATTTGTGCAATATTCAAAATCGTTCAGTTTCGATTTTAACACGTTAATTAAATATGTTTCTTTGGCTTTCAACTTAAAACTTATTTGCCTGATAAAGATAATACTGCTTCGAAACTGCTCATTTATTTTATAAATAAATAGAATCAATGATCGATATATAGATGATTCGTTTCATATTGTTTCTTATTTTGATTTGGAACTATTGAATCACATTTCGAATTAATAATTTATGATTCGGTTGGAATCACATGAATATTCATTCGAGCATTGAGTGTGAGAGTTAATTTCGGATAATTTTTTATTTTTGTTGATAGTTATTGATAATTGTTAGACTGTTTTTCTTATTGACAAGATTTCTACAAAAAGTTTTAAAGATTAGGAATTGAATATGTTGCTAAGAATAGTAATGATGCAGTGGCGAAAAAAGTTGAACATTGGTCAAATAAAAATAAAAGAAAATCGTTATCCTTAGATAATAGATAATATCCACGTGATAAAGTAAAGATTTATAAGCAATAAAATTATATATTTCGAAAAAACATATTCTTTATAAAAGAAATCTTAATAAAAAAATTTTTTATAGAAGAAATATGATATAATATTACTTATACTTGTACCTGTAAAAAATAGTGATTCATCATGAAAAAATTTTACTATTAAGATTTACTATTAATTGACAATTTTATGATTTTATTATTTGCTTCGGATACATCTAAGGAATCGTGCGAGTAGCATGATCTATTAACGATACCCGCAAATAATGAAATCTTTGCAAGTCCGATAAAGATTCATTATTTTGAATTAATCAAATAAACGTATCTCTAAAACTAATTCAATCCTTAGAGAATCCGTCAAAAATTGGCAAATTTATTTGGGGCAAAATTGCCAGAGACTATTGCTGGATATAGGAGAGGGGAATAACCGATTCTAATGAAGGGACACTTTTTTCTCTTTTTTGTGCGTGTGCATCTTCTATAAAATCTTCTACTGTGGATATTATATTGAAATAGATGTTTTTAAATTCGATAAGATGAGCTACGTGTGATAATTCTAATTCGGTCCCTTCAATAATTTCTTCTATGCTTTTTTGAATATATATTTACATATTTGTCGTATAAAGAACCACACATATCATTTTCTAATTTCGGTAAGCGTAACTGACTGTCTAGATTCTTCAAAAAATTTCTTAAACCTCGTCAATGAGATCTTGATCAAATGACGTTCATTGATTAATGACTTTAATTGAATTTTAATCTCTGCTAACGTAAGGACAAGAATTTACTTACTGGAATTAGATAGTAGATTAGATCGATGATGCTGAAGTTGATTGCAGTTAGAATGCTGCTGTGGCATTGTCTAATATTGTATGTCGCTAGATCGGGAGCTCGATACAATTTTTCATCGTTTTTGATGACTACGTTGACCTTCTTTTCAGGTCGAATCAGGAACATACTAGCAATTCTCTATTGATGAGATGAATCCTTTCTTGATAACAAAGATTCTTAATTGCTATTCACCACTGTTCACTGACTACTGAATCGAATTCACTTTAAATATTCACTCTTTAACTCTCGACCAACTGTATCCGGCTCGAAGGATCAAATGTTAAAGTCGAAAGAATGAACGACTTTGGATATTGCACAAATGCAGTATCTAAACTGATGCTACTGTTCGAAGAACTATCTACTACCATAGAACTGTATATTTCATTTCGATTATGAGCTCTGAATAAACAAATAATAGCATTTTAACTTTTTATGGTTAATGTAACGATTCTAACTGTATTTTGATGTACAGTGTATCATCGTTAAATTCTATCTGTTTAGTTTTCTATTTCTATTCTAACTCAACTGCAAGATTGTCACGAGTCTTTTTCTTTTCTTTTCCAATTCTTGTTTTTCGCGAAACCAATGATTGTATTGGAGGGCGGTTTCGAAGGATAGGCCTTTACAGGATCGCGTCGCGTGGGAGTCAGGATCTTTGCGTTCGCTTTCACGATGGTTTATTGCATGGCGTACAAATGTAGCTTGTGAAATGACCATTATTGTGGCTTATATACTGTATCTTTGTTAAAAATTTGTAAAAATGTTAGAAAAACCATGCCCGCTCATAAATTATTATCAGGTACTTGGAAGTACTTGAATTGTTGAAAATAAAAACCAGGTTATCATTGAGATATTTAATAGAGATAATTGTATTGTAATTAAAATTACTCAGAAATATTATTATTATTAAAAGCAACTTATCCAAGATATAATTATATTATTGATTTAATATTATTTAATTATTTAATACTATAATTTCATATTATTAATTATAATTTTTATCAAGGGATATTTATAAATTCCCCTCACATAATAGAAAGATTGGAATCGATCAGCTTATCATTAATTCAATAAATTCAACATGCATAAATCATTTAAAGAATATATTTATTAATATTTCTAATATATTAATTTATTTATAATATATATTAATTAATTTAATATATATATATAATATTATTATATATTATATAAATATATATTATATTATATTATATATTATATTATATTATTATTATATTATTACATATATATTATATTATATATTATTATATATAAATTAATTAATGTATATTAATTAATTTATTTCTAATATATATTAGAAGTTGTAGCAAAGGAATATGTACAAAATAGATAAAATTATAAAAAAAAATCTCAATTTTTATATTTCATGAATAATGAATATTTTAAATAACGAATATATGGAATGTATTATAAGATATTATTACTATACTTTATTAGAATATCTTGATATAAATTTATATATACATCTATTATATCTTATAATATGAAACGCACATTTTTTTAAATAAATCAATCATAACTTATAAATAATAGTTAACTGATTCAAATTTAAAAAAATTGTTTATTATAATATTATAATATTCTCTGTATTCTAATGTAGATTAAAATAATATGACAATATCTTTTTATATTTGTATATATTTTATATACATATGCACATTTTATGAACATAAATAAAATTATTTTATTTTAAATTCACATTTTTTATATTTAAAATCAAAACAAGAAGGCTTAGATAAAGATAAAAATTGAATAATGTAATAACTAATTTTACAGTAATTAAAATTCTACAGAAAAAAAAGAGTATTCAACGCTCAAACATATTGAAAGGAAATTTAAAGATTTGAATTTTTTAAATAATTTTAAAATAAGACAGAATGCAAATTGAACTTTTGCATGAATTGTAATATACAATATGTTCGTTTTAACGTTTTTAAATATCTACATATAATTATTTTTATAAATATCAGAAATAAAAAAAAATGTTTCAAATAAAAATATGATAATGATGATAATTATTTGATCTTAATGTTAGACAATTAGATGTTAGCTGTGAATGTCACATTTAAATTCTTTATTTTTTATTATATATTTTTATAGTTAATATTAAGTCATATTTAGAATACTATTATATATATTTTTCATAAACCATTGTTAAATTATTAACTTTTAAAATTTACATATTAGTGGCATTAACATTTATATTGCGAAAATATTGTTGAGTCGCATCATAGTGTTTCTAAAAAAATTAATTTGAGTGCGTGGACACACATGCGCGCATATGCGTATATTTTAAAGTAATTTAAGTATGATTATTTTTTAACATATTCCTTATTATTAAGATTATTTCTATTTAAACATTTCAATCTATATTGAAGTTACTTTTTTATTTTCTTCAACATTGAAATGTTATTTTTACATATAAATTATTCCATTGAAAACACAATTGTTTTTTTTTTTTAAAGCTATATCATGGTATATAAAAAGACTGTGCAACGTTCTCGCATATAAATTGAAATGACAATGATAATATTGATAGTATGTAATAAACTTAAAAAATAGCTTAACAGCGCTTTATGAAAAAATATATATAGATAATGTTTTGAATACGCAATATTACAAGAATATGAAATAATAAAATATAATGTTCTATATAAAAATTTAATTGTAATCTTCACAGAATTCTTCAATTATTTCGATATTATAGAATTTTAATTTGAAATATTGTTTCGTATTTCTAATATTTCTTAGAAATAATTATATATAGATAAATATATATTAAAACAGATATTATATTTTTAATTCTAATAAAATCAAACATAAAGTACAAAATGAAAGAGATGTGAAAGAGATCATAATGTTTCATTTTACTATAATCGAACTATAATAAAAATGATTACTTTCTCAACTGCAATCGCAGTGATTTTGCAATTAATTTCATTTTTTTCATCTGTACGAACTAAAGAATTTCTATGTACATCAATCATAATCAATTAAATTTTTTGATAAGATTAAATTATTTCATTTCTGATATTAATTATTGCAATAAATCAAACATCAAAGAGTTATTACATAAAAAATCTTAATATTATTATTAAATAATTTAACGGAAAAAAAGAATAATTTAATATTTAAAGTAATTATTAATATTAATAATGTAAGAGGGTTTATTTAAAAATATAAATCAACTATTTTAACAATACAAAAAAAATATATTTTAAATATAAAAAACATTACAAAATTATATATAAAATTTTCATTGAAATATAATAATTTATAAAATTAATAGTTCATTAATCTTCATCTATATCAGTGATAGGCAAACCAGCACATTCACTGTGTCTTATTCCAAAAGAATACATAGGTTGTCGTCTTCCAGTATTATATAAAGGATAATATCGTGGACCTGGACTTAATTCTAGTTCTGCTAAATGAGTCCTCCATTTTAAGCTAAATGCTGGAGCACTACGTTTTACAAGATCAGTTCGAATATTTCTATAAGCTGCTGGACCAGGACCAACATCTTCTTCTTTAATTCTATGAATTCCAGCTCTAGTGAAATACATAAAACATATTTTGATTATTATTTTTATTACTATTTATTCTTATTATATTATAACAGTCAATATATTTATTAATATATCAACCATTATATACAAAATTATAATATATATATAAGAGTTATAAGAAATATAATACAAATATGTATATTCATTATTTATTATTTATCAAAAATTTTTAGAAATAAAGTTTTATTACTTAAAATTATTGAAGATAATATATATTATATAATATAAAATTATGATAATTCTAAAATTATAATTATTATTATTAAATCTTAATCGTAAAAATAATTATAAAATCTTAGCTAACTTATAAATCAAAGTTAGCATAATTGATAGAAATGTAAAATTATGAATGTATGAGAACAAAAAAAGTAGGAAAATGAATTTATGCTAATAGTAATAGAAAGAATAAATGTACTAGCAGATAAATAAAAAAAATAATTTCAGAAATAAAAAAAATTTCTTTTTAAATTCAAACACTGTGATTCTTTAATATAAACAGTATTTTTGTTTACATATATATAGAATGTTTATAAAAATGTAAAACATTTTTGGAAAATAGATTCTATACATGAAAAAAGTTCATATACATATATAAGATACATTAAAAAAATTATAAAAAATTTCACATTACATATCACATTGGATAAAATAATGATAGAATAAAAACACTGAGCGTTTGCATAATTGAAATTCTGATAAAAAATATAACTCATTTTTTAGATATCCAAATTAATTATTGTGAAATTTTATTATAATAATATATATTGTTTGTGAGGAATAATGCTCACAAAATTTATGTTTATTTGAAGAAATTCTTCATTTGGAAATCTTTTTTCATTATTATCAGTTCCCGATTCCCATTAAGCCTAAACAAATAATGTTGCCTGATGATGCCATTTTTGAGAAGAATTTAGTTGATTATATATTTTTGAGATAGCCTGATTAAAGCACAACTTCCGCAGACGCGCAGATTCCAAATTCAAAATATATCTTGTGACATATTTTAGACAACTCAACATCATCTTATATTCGGAGAAATCTATAATAAACATATGCTGATCAATCCCTAATTATCATCATATCTTGGTACAACGCTGACTATAGTTTGAAGAATTTTTCTCTAACTTGAATATATCACAAATCAAGATGCTGATTGTGATTATTGGTTATTATCATGTCTCACCGAGAAACTATGATTCTCTCACTTAAAATTGATTTCTGAGGGTATAAGTTTTCATTAAAAAGTAAGACAACAGAGTCTATTTAATATCTTGTTATAAATATATCGTACTATGTCGTGATATTACAATTATATATTTTTGAGATAACCTGAGATATCGAATATGATAAATAGTTAATTTTCTTGTAACTATGCATCGCTTTGACTTGTAACTATCATGCTGGACACGATCATTTATCATAACATTGTGAGAAATTCAACTCTTGTACAGATATGCAAGCAAGTCAAAAATGGAAATAATTCGAAAATTTAAATATTTATATTTAGAATAATTCTTTACTGTTTAATGTTCTATAAGTTTAATTAAAATTAATAATTCAAAATTTGAATCTATTATTGTTACTGAATTATTTTAAAATAATGTATCACATGCAAACATATATATTCAAAGAAAAATTCAATTTTATTTATGATAAAAGCATTTATAGTATTAGTATTTTTAAAAATTAATCCGATATTATAAAGATTTTTTATACATACAAATCATTATCAGAAATAATATTTCTCTAAAATTCTGGTTAAATTTTACATGATATGTAATTGATGCAATATAAAAAAGAACATCGATAACTTAAAAATTGATTGATTTTTTTAAAACTTTTTTAAAACTTTGCATGTTTTTAATCCTTAATATTTTCCTTAATATCTTAAGGAAAATATTGGTTAATTTTAATCTGTCACAATTCGCTTCTTCAAGATGAAAATATTTTGTAAATGAAAATAAGAATTATCTTATTTTTAAAAATTTTTAACCTGATTATTTAGTTAATAGAAAGAGCGAATTCAAAAGAATCATCAAAAGCAATTAGTTCGTTTAGTTTTATCATCTAATAATTTATAATAAAAAATAAATTTTAATGAAATTGGACATTAAATGAGGATAAAAAATTAATTCTAGGTAGAAAAAATCAACGAGCAATAATTAAAGACCATCTTTACCGTTATCGTTTATCATAGGGAAATAAATGAATTAAGGAAATGATGTTAAAATAAACATAGCATATAAAACATAATGTTTCTAAAGCATAACAAAATGGAGAAGGCAAAAATGTCTGATAAAATAACTATATTGAATCATGCAACATTTTCGAAATTCGATAACGATATTTCGCAATTTTAAAAAAAAAGAACTTTCAATTTATAATATATTTATATATATTTAAAACTATATAATATATATATAATAAAATAAAAATATAATAGTTCTTTATATAACAATTCATATAGCAATTATTATTAAATCAATAAAAAATTTTATTATTTATAAAAATATATTACATAAAAATATTTTCATTATTTTAAAAAGTTTTAATAATAAATTTTAATAATAAATTAATATTTTTATTTCAATTAAAAAAACTTTTTAATCAAAACTGTTTTCACGACCAATGTGTTACTGTAATTATTAATTTTTTAATTGTGTTAATTTAAATAAATAATAAAAACAAAATATTTGTCAAAATAGAATAATAAAATATAATAAAACAGAATTTATATGAACTTCACATGAACACCTTTCATCTCGAAAATTTTTATAATTCTTTGGTTATTGGAACTTTATTTGAGCTTTTACTATATAAACCATACCATACCATACCATATTACCATATAAATACTATTGAACATTATTTCATTTATATGAACGTAANTATTCATATAAATAAAGTTTTATTATAATTTATATTTTAAAATATTTAAAAATACAATAAATAATGCATATTACTGATAATATAATAATGAAATTTAAAATTATAAATTTGTTCTATTAATATATTAAAATTATTATATATAAATATTATATTTAATTTCTAAATCTCAATTTTAAAAATTTTTAGCAGATAGATAATTTTTAATATCTACAAAATATTTAATCATAAAGATTATATGCTATTATATGCTTATATACGATTATAAATATTATATATATATATATATATATATATATATATATATGATTATATACTTATATACAAGATATAAGTACAAGATACATTAAATTATCAAAATTTAATTCATAAAAGTTTTAATATCTAACATTTAATAAAATTTTTAATTTATATACGTACATAGAAAAGGCACCTTGAGCTACTTTGTCAGGAATTTTTGGTCCTATACAAGTTGGCAAGATATATGCATTTGGACCAGGTCCAATATCATCAAATTTTATTCTACTTCTAGATTTAATACTATAAGCAGGAGCTCTAATTTTGTGATTCATTGGTGGACATAGTTCTGGATAATGTGCTCCTGGTCCTGGTCCGAGATCTCTTACTAAGTAAATAAATATAATAATATAAATAATATCATTTATGAATTTATATTTTTTTATATTGATATATATTATCATTTTAATTATATTATGATAGTCTTTGATCTTGAAAAATTTGACGAGCAAGATTCATTCAAAAGTTATAAAGTATTAAAATTTCTATACATTTATAAGAGATATCCTTAATAGATTTATGTACTATAATAAATATACATTTTTCATAAATATAAAATATTTGCAAAAAAAAAAGGATTCTTGAAAGAGGAGTTCTTCGAAAGTACTAATTTAACATAAACTTAATCTTACTTACTAAATAATCTCCAATTAAAATAGATTAAATTAAATTAAATTGAATCTATAGAGTTATTCTCTCTACTAATTTTAATGCAGTTTAATCGCGAGTATTCCGATATCAGGATATCAGCTCTCGTACATAAGAATGAATTTAAAAGCTTTAACCATATAGGTTGCAAACAGATTTTAATCCTTTCGTTACTACGGGCGACTATAGTCGCTTTCCATAAAATGCCATTGATACATGAGCAACTATAGTCGCTCTGCATAAGATACCGCGTATTATACATATAACGAGCAATTGGAGTTATTGTACATCGAGTATCTTTTTCTGGAAATGTAACATATTTTGTTTCTTTTATAATTTGTTTCTCATGAAATTTCAGATCAATAAAATAAAATCACCAAAAAAATGCCGTAAACGTGACTGATGATCTTTCTCTACTGTGCACATTTTTGGCTCGTTCAGCAGGAGTGTCGCGACAGAGAAATTGCCCGTAGCGGAAAGATTAAAATTGGATATTGTCGACTTGACGACACAGTGGTGAAGATTTCGAGAAAAGATAGTAAGTACTGATCTCTATAAATTTAATTTATGTAAATAATAAATTATGCGCGAAAATACTTAATATGTATTTCAATATTCTCTCAATATAGACCATTTTAATCTTTAAAATTTTGATATTACTCTGCTTCTCTTTCTAGGAAGGAAAGATATCCATGAGAATAATTTTCTCCGCGTAAAAAAGAAAGATTATGTTAAATTAGAAACTTAGATTAAATTAACATTTTTACAAGTTTTAATTTTAAATGTTTAAATTATATTGATCATAAGTTATCATTGTAAGTATAAATATATCATAAAAAAAATATAAACAAAGCATGAGTAATATTAGCATTCTATCGTGTTTTTGTATTATATAAAATATAAATTTTAATACATTATGACTTTCGAATTGTCAAATTTTTCAAGATCGGAAATATTCGGAACAATAAATTTAATAATAAATAGAATGAAGTATGTAAAACAAATCATCTGAATATCTTGATTATTATTGTTATAAGTTTGATTTAGCACATTTTTTTTAAATAATAACAGCAGAAGTATTCAGATGATCTATTTTAAATCATCTTGTATATCTTTGCCTTATCTTGTATATCAAAAATAAAGTCATAAATCTACATTTAAAAAATTACTATATTTTATAATAGGTATTTACGTAAAAATGTTTCATTGTACACAAAGTATTTACAAAAATACAAAACACTTTTGGAAAGTGAATTTTAAATAAAATAATGAAAAAAGTTCTTATAGATATAAAAAACTTACAAGAAAAATTAGATTTGCAAAAAAAGTTAGGAAACTCAGAAATTAAAATTAAATTATAAAATAAATTAAAAAAATTATGAAATTCGCATATAAGTAAAATAAATCATCTATAATACAACCCTATTTTTTGGAGGGAGGTTAATATTAGATTTTAAAGTATGAAATTATCTTAAAAAAAATTAAGAATTTTCTATTCGAAAAATTTCAGAAATAGTGAAATATATATTTTGAAAAAAAATTTAAACAAAATTTGCATCATTTTATTGTATTTACTAAACAACGTAAAAAATTTTTTTGAAAAATCTATGTCTAATCTATTTCTCAAAAAAATGTTTTTATTATATTTCTAGAAACTTCTTTTCATATCTATAAATAACTTGTATGTTAAAATTTTTTTTTAAATAAATAAAATATTATTTTATAATTATTTTTTAAAATTATTTTATAATTATTTTTTAAAATTTTCATTTTAATAATTTTCTTTAATAAATTGATTTCATGATCCAATTTATTTTTAATTTACGCATATAAATTATTTATATTAAATTTAAGTATATTTAATAACAATTTTTATGAATAAAATAAATATTTAAATATATATATATATATATATATATAATATATACCTTGTTATTTTATATTTTTATAAAATATGTAATTAATAAATGATAAAAATATGATAACTATAATAATAATATTTCTCATAGAAATGTTTGAAATACAAATATTTTTTACCATGTACATAATATAAAAGATAATATTTTACAAATATTACATTTTGGTACTGTCTTTTTACTTTTAAAATAACAGAAATCTACATGATTTTAAAATTCACCGAAATGTATCTCGAGATATGCTTTTAAATCAAGCATATTGAAAAAGATTTTTGAATCTGGAAAAAGAAAACTGATTATGTGTTAATGATATATAAATTATATACAATTTCATTATGTGAATGTGAATATTGATATTTTTATCTCGGAGAATTACGTTATCTGAAATATCCAAATTCTTGGAAACTCATTTAAAGATTAAATCATGTCTATTACTTTTCTTTAGAAAAATTGAAAATCTTATTTTTTTTATTTTTTGTTTTGTCTTGAAATCAATTGATTTAATTGATGCAGATAGTGTTGCGATTACGAATTGAATAGTAGCATATTTTTACTGTCAATTACAAAGATAAATCAAAGATTCATCTTTGATTTAAACTTTCTTTAAATATCTTTTATTTTATTATTAATTATTCTTGAGATATTTCACGAAAAAAAAAATTCTAAATTTTTTTGAAAAGATAATTTTACTTCTTAAAACCAACCAACGAATGTTGACATTAAAGAAAAATAAAATTCTATTAGAAACATTTTTTTTATTTCATCATTTTTTTAATTTCCGAATTGGCTAAATAGTTGCCTAGATAGAAATGAGAGTAAAATGAAATTTAGTTCAGAATATATAATAATATCGTATTGCAGTATCATTTATATAATTCTGTAATGAAAAATAAATATATTAATATTTTTAAATTTTAGATATACAAATGACTATTTTCTGATTTTCGATGTAACATAATATAATATATCATATAATATAAGTATAATATACTTATGTTGTTTAAAAAAAAAATTTATTATTTTTAATTATGCAAATTGAAATCTATATTTATTATTTAATAAAGATTTATTTTGAACAATTTACAATAAATTCCATAATATTTGGCATTACACGATAATTATAAAACATTTCATTTAAAATTATATGTTTTTTTTCTATAGACAAACTTACTTTTTTAAATTATTCTTACAATTATTTTGTAAAAATAATATTTGAATCAATTTCTATTATTATATTTTATAAATTTCTATCATTATTGAATAATAATAAAGTAAGTCAATAAATAAAGAATCAATTGACAAATTCTTATTTCATTTGGATTCAATTTCTAATTCGAAGAAAAACAATAATAAATAATTAAACCAGAATATATATTAATTATACACATCAATATCACATGAATTAGTATCACATATTCACAAAAAATGCGTATATATTACAATTTTTCTTTTTATACATATATATTTAGAATATATATTATAAATTCATTAATTTTTGTTTTTTATATTTTTATTTACAATATATATTATCAATGAACGAATCAAAACCAGAACAAAATATTATTATTTCGACAGTAAGAAAGATTATTCAATTAAATTTTGGTATTTTAATATATAAAAATATAAAATTCAATTTTTTAAAATATTACTATCTCATTTTTTTATTCTATTTATTTTTTTTTTCTAATACACTAAATTTGTTATTTATTTATTTGTAACGCTATTTTAATAATATATCATAAAGTCGAATTTAGAATTTGATAAAATAACATATTCAAATACATAAAATATATAGAATTCAAATAAAATTAATTAAATTTTAAAATAAGGTTTTAATTAAATTATCTTTAAACATCTTATTAAGCAATCATCAAATGTAAAAAATTAAATAATAAATAATAATTAAAATAATTTTATTTAAAATTTTATTTAAAAAAATTAATGAATAAAGAAATTAATAAAAAAAAAAATTAATAAAGAATAAAGAATAAATCAATACGCAGTAGTAATGTGGTAAAAAAAATATAATCCTTTTACGGATTTTTAGTGAATATAAAATATAATATTAATATAATCAAAATGTAGATATTGAATTTCAATTATTATTTTTTTTTTCAATAATTTTATTGATTTTATTTTTTTTGTTCAATAATCTTATATCAGAATAAAAAATGTTGAATATAAATGAGAGACAAAAATTTTTCAATTAATATTAATTTGTGAAATTCAAATTGATTTAAATATTACATTTTACATATGTGAAATAATTAAAAGAAGCAAGTTTGTGTGTACTAAAACGCAAATTTAACTTTTCTAATGCAAAATCTTATAATTTATTTCAAGAAAGTAAATATTGTTTAATTTACATTGAAATTTAGAAATAATCATTCATATATGAATATCATATAAAAAGATATTAATACATTTATTTTTCGAAAAACTCTACTATATCGTAATCATAATACTGTTGCATACCAACTCTCATTCCATCATTGTCTTCTGTTTAATTCAAACTTAAAATATTTATAATTTTTTAATTAAGTTTTAAGAATATATATGTATATATACTTTATATATATATTTATATGCTATATATAACTTTTTTTATCGTTTTGATATTTAAAATCTCTCCAAATATACTCTCTCCAATTAATATTATTATTGTTAATTAATTTTTATTTCAAGTCAATTTTATCACATGTGAATCTTTGCTTAGAGCTTTAAGTATATAGTATATATGTATGTATGTATGTTAAATTATATA